CGATTTCTGATATTATTTTTCTGCGAAAACTTCGTTGACCTTTGGAGACATCATTAATATAAATAATTTTTATGGCCGTTAAATAAGAAATGTTTCTTTCACAAGAAATGTATAAAATTACAGTACTAAACAGACGATAGGTCGCCTAACTCGCCGTAGCGTGACGCTAGACGGCGAAAAATATATATTTAATTATAATAAAGTTACAATAAATTAAGTTAATATATAATTATATATACAGTACCTAATTTATATATAATTAATATATAATTATATGTACAGTACCTAATTTATATATAATTTATATAATACTGTCCAGACGATAGAAATCTCTCCGTAGCGTGGCGCTACGGACGGCGGGTAAGTAGTTCGGCTGCCCGATGACGTTTTACGTATCATAGGAGTTATTTTTACCGTTGTTTACGGATAATGCCACAATTTTTATAGGAATCATAACTATAGGAAACGGTTTTATAGGGGGATCTACTGTACTGCCACAATTTTTATAGGAATCATAACTATAGGAAACGGTTTTATAGGGGGATCTACTGTATATACAATTTATATAATACTGTCCAGACGATAGAAATCTCTCCGTAGTTGGCGCTACAGACGGCGGGAAAGTAGTTCGGCTGCCCGATGACATTATAGGTAATTATAGGGAATTTTTACTGTTTTTTATGGATACCGGTCACAATTTTTTCGTAGTTTTATAGGAATTGTAATTATAGGGACCGTAATTATAGGGGGGTCGACTGTAAAACTTTGATATTTTTAACTTTCAGAAACACTGGCGCAAACTAATTGGGTTTTCGACGTTCAGACTCATCCAAAAATTTGCCATCACAGAACAATTTGCTTATATGTTATGTAGATCTATTTGTAAACTTGAGTATTTTATTTCTTTCCTTAATTCAAATTTGAGTCAAAATATTCCTCAGAAAACTGAATGTTTCTTATCCGTTATACTTGCATTATAGTTACATGTTCTCTTTTATTCCGTATTATATACCAAACTTAAAATATATTAGTAAAACTAGCAGTAAAACTGAATTGCGCTCTTTCAAAGAACATTTTGTAACTAAACGCATCAGTGTCTCTAATAATTCGTTTTTGAATTACTGAGAACCCCAATCATCGACCTTTACATATTCTGTTTGTATTTATTGTAAAAATTTGAATAATATTTAATGGAAACTACAACTACGGTAAAACATTTAAAGCGTCTTAAGCCATGTTTAATTATAATTAATAGTAGATAACAATTACTTGTTAAAAGTGCTACCGTTATATAATGCTTTAAGAAAACTTTTTATTGTTCTCCCAGTCGTGTAATTAAAGCTACAAATACTGGACACATCAATACATTCGAAACTGTAGTTAATCTTTACTTATGTAACATAGGTGGTGACTATTAACTATATTAAAGGCTGGTAGCTAATTGCAATTTTTTTACGTTTTCAGTATAAAATACTTTAGTTCAAAAGTCATTAGTTCTACCTCATTTTTTGTTGACACTAAAATTATTGATTGTCTTCCACAGAGTGGAAAATGATTAAATTTGATTGTGCTGAAGATCATTTGCGATAAGTTTTGAAAAGTTTGAGTTTCAAAAATGAGTCAAAAATGAAAATTTTTTGTATAAAAGCAGAACATGAAAATAAGCTAGAGTTCAACAGCAAAGCCATTTTTTTCAAAGACTGCTTGCATTCCCAAATTAATTGGTCACAATCTGACTTATGAACACCATAAGTAGGTTGTTCTTGCGTTATTTAATCAGACCAGATTTGCCGATTCGCATGTTTTTATGGAAGGACTTATTCCAATTATTCCATAAAAGATTAATTTAAAAAAAAATTGTTGTAAAGATTGTGATTATTAAATTATTAGAGGCTTCTAGAATGCCGTAGTTTGCCTAAATTTTTTCTTTAGTCAAACTAAATTTTCTTTACTAATTGTAGTTCCTCTACATAAACAGTCGGTGACGGCGCAAGCCCAGTTTTCATGTATAAATGGTTTTGTAGCCGAAATCGAATCATCGAACGAACATGCTCAAATTGTTTAGCAGCTGCTTGTAGAAGCGAGTCATTCAAAACTCAATTCAGAGCCAGTTCTACATTTTCGCTTTTAATTTTTTGCGTTTTGGTACCAATAAAACAAACAAACTTAGTTTTATAACAAATAATTACGAAATGGTAAACAATTGAATTGGAAATAAAATTCAAAATTAGACTAATTACAATAGAAGATTGTAGGAACAACAAAGATATAGGAATTATATTAAGCTAGGCGAACATATACAGGAGACTTTACTGAAAATTTTATAAATCTAAGTTATATAATTAAATGCTGTATATTTACATTTGAAATATTATATATAAAAAATTTCCATGTTCTTTTTCTCTTGTCTACACGGTTGTAAATCGATTTTCTAAGAGATTGCACCAGAAAGATCTCTAATTTGCATAATTTTATTTTTTTCCTGCATCTATGAGTAAATGCTTTAGTTCTTTCGCCCGCTCAATGACCATTACTTCTATCTAGGACTGTAAACTTACATAGTTTAATAATACCNCCAAATTTCACCTGCTTAGGTTCAACGGTTTGCTCTAGGTGAATCAGTGACTCAGTCAGTCAGTCAGGACAAGTAATTTTATATATTTAGAGATTCGTATTTAGTAATTTTATATATATATATATATATATATAAAATTACTAAATACGAATCTCTAAATATATAAAATTACTTGTCCTGACTGACTGACTGAGTCACTGATTCACCTAGAGCAAACCGTTGAACCTAAACAGGTGAAATTTGGTACACAGTTAGGGTACGTCATGCAAAGCTCACAATAAGAAGGGATTTTTCGAAATTCCCAAGCGGGAAAGCGTTAAGGCTTAACCTGAAGAACGACTTTTGAAATTGATTCCATACTTTCCCTTAAATTGATAATATTTCAGACATTGTTATAAATATTTTCATATATTTCGATTTTTTAACCAAATGTTCGAACCGTTTTAAATTCGAATTTGTTATTGGATATTGGTTCGATTATAGAACGATTGTAAACGTTGCAGAAAATTGATCAAATTGAAAACAGTTCGTTTGATTCTCGGAAATTCTCATCATTCTCAGCGGTAAATGTTATATAAGAATTACTATGGTTGTTGAAATATTAAATATAAATGGAGTTTGCTTTCAAAACCTGCGCGTACGAAGTCGCGGGTAACAGCTAATTTAACTATAAAAATAAAACACATAGAATATCTTAACGGCTTTAAAACCGCAGAAAAATTCAAGCTAACACACATTCTTACTTAAATAAAAAAAAGTATCGAATTTCAACATTCCTAAATTATGTTAGAACGAAACCGTCTTCTAGAAGTGCCGTATTGCACGAGAAACAACTATATTTTAATAGGAAATCGATCAGTAGCAAAGGTTTAAGTTGACTTCGTGTGATTGAATTTATAAATCTGTTCACAGTTTTCTTTCTTATTTGAAACGGTTTTTAGTTTTAAGAAACCGGAGAAAATGGAATGTAGTGTTCTTGCCATCTGAAATATAAAGCAAAATCATTATCAAATCTGTTTAGAGAAAGTTCTAGAAAATAATACTAAAGGAAAAAGCAACCTTAAAAACAATTCTCTTATCTACCACTAAAAAAGACAGAAAGACTTTTCCAAATCTTTTCATAAAATTTAAAATCTGAAAGTACGAATAGAAAATATAAAATAATTATTTATTAAATGATTATAGAAAAACACACACCTTCAGCTTTATTTTCAGTCCAATATCACATCCTGCGAATTGTCTGACGTCTTGAAACGTATTTTCTATCTGCAGCAGAGAAATAAAACAGTATAGAAATAAAATAAATAAAAAAAAATACGTCAATAATGTATGTAGAATATAAGTACCGTAAATGCGAGCGAGCACAGCAGACATCCAGCTATTATGCAAATACAAGTAAATGTTACCATGAGTAAAAATATTAAATATTTAACGGAATATAAAAATTCCAAAATTAAAAATGCATAGCAGTAAAAACTTGTACCCCAAAGGACAACAAAATAGATAATTACAAATACTAAATTGTACTTGCTGTTGAATTGTTGCATAAAAAGCCAAAGCTCTTCGTGATGCAGCATTAATTCGTTTAGCTTTTTCTGTAACTCTGAACCGATTCTTTTAATTAAAAATAATTCCCGAGACAATTGTTCGAACTCTTGATAAGCGATAATGCATATCAAAGCCACTATTAATAAAGTAAAAGCAAGTCCGCCTATAACATAACTTATAGGTATGAAAATTTGGATACTACAGAATAGAGCTTCAATGCAAAATTTTTTCTTGTTTTCTATATGAGGATAAAGAACGAAAATCACAAGAATTAGAAATAAGATAATAATTACTATTATAATTATAGACACAAGAAAAACAATTTTTCACAATAAGTTGTAATTATTCTTCATTTTGCTACGAAAATTCTCGTTCTTTAATACCTGTATCAATACCACTTTGGTTCTTCTTATGCATCTGAAAACAATACAATAACTGATAGATAGAGAAGAATATAACAATTTGAACAATATGGAGTGAGTTTTCAGTGTATCAAATTCTCCGATGCAAATGGAATATTCGTTTAAACCCGGCATTGTTTCCCAAATTAGAAAAATTGTTCGTTGCCATAAACAAAATTCCATTATTCGAACGTATATATTCATAAATTTTGAATTTTTACATATTCTAATTTTGTTTCGGCAATTGCATGATTCAAGCGGATCTATCCGAAATATGAGGGCAGTCGTCCAACAAGGACTAAGGAAACAGTTCATACAAGTTACTTTTTCCCCACGCTTCACGAAGCAAAATGATGATCTGAATATAAATGGTTGTTACATAAATCCATTATCTCTTAAAAATGGGTGATATGCATTATTAATTTCCTGCCATATTTTCACCGGATAGAATTGAGAATTAATTAGCTAAGTGCACGTTTTATTGATTGGTCAAGAAATTAAACGCTGGAGCTAAAAGGTAGCTCTGTAATGGCACGAATATGGATGGCATTTTAATTCAGGAAATGGTATTGTTTTCAAAAGTAAGGGAAAGTTTGGCAAGAGCTCACAATTTTAGTATAATGATGTAATTACAAAAATGTTAATTGTGTGAAAACCGAGGGGGTTAGTTGTCCCCACTTACCCGCGGCTCTGTCAGAGGATAGCTTTATAGGACGGCAAAATAAAATGAGTGGGGAGGTCAATGAGTACGCCGACAGGTTCCCAAATAAATACACAGGTTGAACAAGAATAACAAATTTAATAAACAACTATAAAATTGTACATATCAAAGGCTAAGGTAAAGATCTACAAAAATTTTATTCTACGTGGCGACAATGATTTGTCTTTCATATGAAACATCTAATCTCTATTTTCTAAGTTAAATTAAGAGACGAGAGGGAGACCTCTCGGAGAGAGACTTCGCAGAGAGAGAGTATACAAATAGATATCCAAAAAATTACCACTAATTTCCCGATCCGTAATATGGGTCGTTGGTGAAAACGTTCCTGGATCGTCACGGCAATCATGGCGGTATGAGTCAGTAGATGTGACAGTCGATGTCCGCCTTGTGAATGTCCGCCTTGTAAATGTCTGCCTTGTGGACTGCGTCCAAGCCCTCTTTATACTCTTTTTGAGGAGGTGAGAACTATGACATCATTCATGATTTATCCGCACACCTGTTAGTGTGTTGATGTTTGGATCTAGCTAGTACGGACCACTGACACAGAGAAGTTTGTTTAATTTATTGATATTGGTGTCTAGAAGATATGATTTTATAATATAAATTTCTATAGGTTTGACGGCTCTCATCCATAAATTAACATTCATCTGACAATAATTTCTTTAACCTGGTCAACTATCTAGATATTGTTTATTTCAAACGTCGCGTTTGACTACGAACGAGGCGATTTATTGCTGTAACAACGTGTCACGTGCAACCAAAGAAAAGGGAAAAACATCTCTTATTCCCGTCTTGTTGATATTAATTAATTAACGTCTATAGAATTACCTTTAAACAAATGAAAAAGATTTCTTTTATTGATATGATAACGACTTTTTTCGAGGAGATAGTCTCAATCATCGACCGCAGAATGCCCCCTTTTCCCTTTTTACCTAATCACGAGGTTTATTAGAAAGGTTATGTTCTAAAACAAAAGGATTTTGTACCGTCACAATTGCATTCAAAAATCTTATCAAAATACATTCACAAATCATTCTAGATTAAACGGGAGTCATTCGCACAGCTTTGTATTCAAAGAAATTAATATAAAAACAATTCTTCTACAGCAGGGCTTCTTAAACTATGGGTCGCGACCCCATTTGGGGTCGCTTAGCGAAATCTGGGGTCGCGAGATTTTAATGAAAAATATTGAAAATAATTTGTGAGAGTTTGAAAATGGCAAGCTTTGTGTCATAGGTTTCGTGAGTTGCTCTTTGTGTCACTTCTGGTGCAGGGAGACAATGATTCAGTAACACTGATTATAGTGTGAACTAGTGCAGTGTTGTCGCTTTTCAGTGTATTCAGTTGTCTCTGTTCCAAGGTAATCAGGGCTGTGGAGTCGGAGTCAGAGTCGTCAAAAAATCCGCCGACTCCGACTCCTTTTTACTTACCAACTTGTTATGTATATAAAACGGAAAAGTATTGGAATCGTGTCAAATTTGACCCTCCAAGTTTTTTTTTTGCAAATCTACACGTTTGGAGAACTCCCGAACCCCTCAAAAAAGTCAANAAATGAAAAAGATTTCTTTTATTGATATGATAACGACTTTTTTCGAGGAGATAGTCTCAATCATCGACCGCAGAATGCCCCCTTTTCCCTTTTTACCTAATCACGAGGTTTATTAGAAAGATTATGTTCTAAAACAAAAGGATTTTGTACCGTCACAATTGCATTCAAAAATCTTATCAAAATACATTCACAAATCATTCTAGATTAAACGGGAGTCATTCGCACAGCTTTGTATTCAAAGAAATTAATATAAAAACAATTCTTCTACAGCAATGAACACCTCAACGCCTCTGCAATCCTGTTTTTTTATATAAAGCAAGGGTGTTATGATCGCCATTTAAGATTATGTCATAAACACTAAAAACTACAGGAAATCCACCCTGAAGAATACATAACTCACAAATGACTTGCAGAAAATGCCACATTCTGCCAGAAACAATACAACTTATAACCTCTGATTGCAATCTCTCAGAACAGACTCTTACCCCAAGAGCTCGCACAAAAGCATAAATTATTTAACATCTATGTACCATATTACAAATATACTCCGTAGGCAGTCTTAGCAAATAACACATACAAAATATACTACGACAGAGTTATAATCACAGATAAAAAATTCATCATCTTACACACTGACTTCACTCTCATTCACAAATGCATTAAGATCGCTTATATAATAGACATCTCTGTTCTAAATACTCATTTATAGAATGAGCATTCATAAAAAATTCTCATTCTGAAATAATCAATCAGTACCTTACACTCGTTCAAAAAATAAGACCGCTGTGGATGACAAATAAGGTATTTATTGCACCTGTCGTCCTTTCTTCTGCTGGTGTCATACCACGTACAATACACAAAAGTCTAGAAACATTAAATCTTAATAAAACACATACATGACACTACAGAAAGCTGCAATAATTTCTATTTCTATTTCGATTAATATGTCTGATTAGGTGAAAGATTTAGAAATTTGGCATGGTTGCTTGTATAGCAGGGGCATTAATGTGTTAAATTTTGGTGGATATTGGTCGAAAGGGTGATAAAGGAGATTTATACGTCATATTTCAAGAGAAGGAATTTAAAATTTTGCGCTGGTTTTTTTTTATAATGGTGTTCCGCATCAAATGAAAAAAGTTTCGTCGAGACAGGCTCAGTATAAATTAAAAAATAACGAAATAGAAAGTCTAAATATAAATATGAACACACCTGAATTCTACTTGCCGAGTTTTTTTCTCTTTATTCAAACGTTTTCGGCCTATTTGGATAGGCCATCCTCAGGCTTTTCTTTATCGTTCCGAATTGGAACCATTCGTTCGAATTTCATTTTGATTCGAATTTTTGAAATAAGTTAACAACTTTTTGTATATTACATAAATAAACAAAATAAAGTATATAAATAAAATAAAATAAATAAATAAAATATGTCCTTATACGTGATACAAACATTAAATAACATATTTTTACATGCGTCTAAAATTATAAAATAATAACTTCTTATAAACCCCAGTTCCTACTTTATGGATTATTGAAACCCATACATTTTTGTATTTTGTATTTCCATGCTGTTGGTAATGTATTTGCATCCTTTTCATTTAAACATCGGTTCCTCATTTTACTTTTGTATGTCTCTATTTTTTCCATTTCCATCGCTATAGACGGTGAGTGCACTGCTCTTATGATCTTCGCTTCATCCCACTTAACTATTGCTCCGTCCGCCTGTGCCATGCTTGCCAATATCGTGCTATTAAGTCCTTTACTAACACTGTATTTGTGTTCTTTTACACGCACTGCAAGGTTTCTTCTGGTCACCCCTACATATTCTTTATCGACTCCCATTTGTTGGTTTTCATATGGGATAGTGTACACCCCCGCTGGCTCTTCCATTCTTATTTTGTACTTATCGTTCCTTAATAATCTGTAAATGTTGGGTTCTCGTTTGTAAATTATCCTTGTATTTTTGTATTTTCCTAGCTCATCCACTACTTTTCTTGTCTGTTCATTGTATGTGAACTTGTTGAATGCAGCTGTGTTGTTATGTGCTGTTGTAGTTTTATTGTTTTCCATAACTTCTGATAAGGCCTTTGATTGTGGACGTTTTGTACCCTAAACTTCTTGCTACTTTTTGTATTCTATCCATTTCCTTGTCACGGTCTTGCACATTGGTGCAGTACAAGAAGGCCCTCTTTATAAGTGCCTTAAACGCAGACAGTTTATATCTATACGGGTCCTTCGACCATGAACGTATGTATAACGGAGCATGTACAGGTTTCAAATATACTGCCGTTCGTATACTTCCTAGTTTAAATTTCATGTCAATGTCCAAAAATGGAAGTTTTTTCGGCTTTTCTGTTCCAATTTTAGTTTCAACCCATGGTCATTGTTGTTGATTGCATTTAGGAAATCATTAATCCGTTGGTTGTCTTTCCAAATTATCAATACATCATCCACGTACCGTTTGTATAATATCATGCTTTCGGAAAAATCTTTGAGGATGTTCTTTTCCAATTTTCTTATTACTAGTTCACATAGGAGTCCTGATATAGGACTTCCCATTGGGACCACTTTCTTTTGTTTGTATACTATTCCACTGAATTTAAAAAAAGACTGAAAACAAACTAGGTTTGCCAAATCCTGTAGGTTTTCCAATTATGTCTCTGCCTCTTGATTTTGTTGTACTATAAATTCAATTAATTCGATGTAGCAAGAGGATAGATTTATAGAGGGGTACAGACTCTCAAAATCCATCACCGTTCCTATTTCATCGCTCATTAAATTTAAGTTTTGTATTTCTTTTACTACCTCGGTTGGATCATGTGGCAAACTGGCTGTCACATGACCCGTAGAATAAATTTCAGAGGGCTATATCTCGGGAAAGGTCGCGCGTAGGGGTATAGTTCATTAGACATTTATTGTTCGCACAAAGGGGAATCGCCACCCCCTTCACTCGGAGGGTAAATCTTACCGTCCCAATCGCGTCATACAAATCTATATTTCTACCTATTAAACATTCTATAAATTTTTTTAAATAGTTTAATTTGTTTATCTACCTTCGCTTGTAAACCTCGATTTTAAATGTATCCGTCATTTTTTCAACAAATTTCCCGTGAGTCAATGCGCGACGTTCACTGACTTGTGAGTCACGGGATGTTGTAAACATGCAGCGCAAGGTTAATCAAAACATATAATAAAGCAAGGCAAGGCACATAATAATTATTTATACCATTCCGTGGTATAAATAATAAATTCATATCAATAATAAATTCCTATTAGAAATAAATATAATTTATTGTTAATTTAAAATTTTCTCTAGGGCGCCTCTAGTGACCGTTTTTGGCAGACCGATATCCGTTGAATGGGTTATATAGGCCTACACATTTAGTAGAAAGGAATAGAGGGCTATCCGTGATAAGCAACAGACTTTACCCTATTAGAAGTCGGAAAGAAGAGTTTAGGAAAGCAAGAAGAAAGAGCAAGAAGAAGAAGTAAAGGAGGATAGAAAAGTGTGAAGATAGAGCAACCAAGGCCCCCACGGGACCCGACGGGCGCCTGCATCGGGTCTTTTATTAACAAACAAACAAACCTATATACATAATGGGTAATAGTACCTTACAATACAATTTTGCCCGACAATTTAATTTTCCTTTAACAATATTTTAACAATAGCATAACAATTTGATTAACATTAGAATTTTTTATATTTACAATGTTTATCAGTAATTTGATACCACAACTTGTGGTTTTATGCAATGGATGTTAAACATATATACAATGATCAGTAGCTACAAGTTGACTAACGCGATATATAATTGATAATCTTTAACAAAATGTATACCACAAACAAGGCATATACAAAACAAATTGCTACTGGCAATCCACTCACCTTGAATGGATGATTTGNAATCTTTCTTTAAATTCAAGCATTATTCGTAAAAGTCACGGTATTATCGCTGAGATGAAAACAATGTTAAAATTATGGCGTAATAATCAAGTAAATGTGAAAAATCGTAAAATAATATAAGCCTAATTTGTTATACATATGTATTATCTAAGATTTTATTAAATATTTTTTTCTAAATTATTGTTTTCTTTAGTCTCCGGCCCAATTAAAAATTATTTGTATGTATTTATACGGGAAATTATACCCCGACTTACCCGAATTCGATTTACGCGGTTACCGCTCGGTCCCACCTATTGCGTAAGTTCGGGGTATTACTGTATATAGATTTTAGAAGATTTTACAGAACAAAAACTTCGTAACATATAAAACATCTCTTTATAGGTTTATATTCAACAAAATTCAGTTATATTCATTCATCAACATATTAAAAGATTTTTCATGACAATTATGTATGTAGTTACAGTATATTCATTTAAATATATAGAAATACTAAAACATATCTATGTATGTTTATATTCAATAAAATTTAATTGTATTTATACAGGTTTTTTAATGTAGATATTTGTCTTATCTTATTGCCATGATTTTTTATTTTTATAATCGAATTTTGTTTTAAATTAATATTTAAAATCTATATTTTAATATGCATATTAACTGTTAATTAATTTTGTTATTTAAATTTTGAGGGGCCCGCAAAAAAAATTCAATCGAGTCTCGCACCTATTGCATCCGGCCCTGTCTGTTGTGGTTTCATTTAGATTTTGATTTTAAGACCTGTTTCTATTAAAATTAGCGTGGAACAAGTGCAAGATAAAGAAACTGTTAAACATATACAGCTACAACTGCATTATTTACTCTAACTTAATTACTGCCACAATTATAAAAAAAACAAATTATTTTTCAACTTCGGAATCGCCATTACCGAAACAAATAGTCAATTAAAAATACATTTATCATATGTATAAAAATGAAAAAACTGATGTGGCATAAACTATAGTATGCAATGAAGAAACTATTACAAATGCTTGTATTTAAACATGCGTTTATTATTTAATATAATCCTATTACAGTAGAGCCTCGATTATCCGACTCAATTGTGGACTGGGGTTGGTCGGATAATTGAAAAATCGAATAACCGAAAAGTATGAAAAATTCCATTATTAGTGTAGTAGTTTATTATATCTCATGTAATTAGTATATTAGTACAGTAGAGCGTCGATTTTCCGAAAGTCAATCATCCGAAACGTCAATCATCCGAAAGAATTCCAGTCGGCAAATTTAAATTTTCGCCAGTGCTGTGGCGCTTCAATCTTTGCCTATGTCTTGGGCTACTCAAATATTTTACGTTTTTCATACTAAATTAACATCTGAAGTATAGAGGAGAAGGTGGTATTATGGAACCCCAATTACATTTTAGTGAATTGTAAACAAGGTATCATAACTACACCCACATTTTTTTTGTGCGAAAAGTACTGGTAACTAGTAAACTAAATGTTCCTAATTGGATTTTTCGCTAGTGTAATTATAAGTATGGTTTTTGAAGACTTTTGTACAAAAAGTCCGAAAGCAGGCTTAGAGAAAATCGGGTGGTAATATGGAACCTTACTGTATATTTTCAAAAAAATGCTTTAATGTAGCCAAAAACAAATAGGAAAGGACAAAAAA